GCAAAATTGCCATGGAATAATTGACTCTAATCATGGCCATTTGAAAATGTGTACACTGATTTCTGATAATGGTCTCATCATGAAACTTAGTTTCTGCATGGACATGAAGCAGAAAAGACTATAGAAAGTTATATTTTAGCCTCCAGAGACCACAGATGTTCCCTTGTTTATTCTTCCCAAATCCCAGTAACAATAGCTATTGGGCCCCCGGCGACATCAACCTGCTCCTCTTAAAAGTAGACATATATTACTCTGCCATTTTCTATAGTAATTATAAATTCCCTGTGATTTATTTTTATTACCCTAAGAGATCTAAATGAACCATATTATTATGTTTTAAATCTCTGCAATTGGACACTACTTCCTTTAAGGGGTTGGAGGTTAAGGGCTGAGATTTGGAGAAAGAATATAGAATAGCTTATTGAAAAGACTTTTTAAAAATTAAGTAAACAGACTCAATATTTATTAATTAGGGATGATGAGAAAAAGTGGTCTTCCCTCATACTTAAGAAATTAATAACAAGTATAGATTCTTCTATTTCTGGCTTGAGTTAAAAGCCACCCATAAAAACAAACAAACAAACAAACAAAAAACATTAGTACCTGGCCTTGGACTGAGTGTGTATTAGAAGGATGATAATTATGTCACCAAGGCAGGCAGACGTGTTGTTGTAGGATCCAGAAGCTTACTTTTGAGTGCTCCTGACAACCTCCAAAAGAAAAACACTGTGCTACTGGTGTTACAGGGTGTGGAGAAATATAGATGACTTATGTGCTATTTAAGCAATTCATTCTATCTTATCTATATATGTAGGTATTATGACCACCATATTATAGGATTATTGCAGAGTATGAGGTAGTGTGTGGTTTTTAAGTGTGTGTGTGTTTGAAAGAACAAATGCATGAATATTTGTAATAAGTGTTAGAGAGCAATCCTGAAATATAAGCAACTTCCTGACCTGGGCAGATTAACCAAGAAGCAAATCTATGAAAAGTATGAAAGCATTAGATTTTCTACAATACTACTACACATTTGTTGACATGAACTGGATTCAGGAAGGGAATACAGAAAGAGCAGATGGATGTTGGGCCTGATTATTTAGTTAAATTGGGGCTGATGACCACCCTTCAGAAGAGGATGCTAGGTATGCCTTCTCCAGAGCCAGGAGGCTTCTCCTTGTGCCTTTATTTGGCTTTGCTGCTCTCATTGGTGACCCATAATGTTTGGAAAAAAACCTCTTTCAAAAGTGTAAATGTTATTCTTTCTGTGGTTGATGTCATCGTTTTAGTGGTCCAAGCATTTGTTACTAAAATAGTACTTAGCAACACATAATCATTATTTTCTCCTCTTAAAATTCTGAGTGCATTTGTTCTGATGAAGTCAGGAGATACATTTTTCAGGGAAGTAGGAGTAAGAGCTTAAAAAAATGAAGTAATGCCTGGAATAATCTCTTGACTTGTGTTACTTAAGAAAGAAGACAACTAAATTTTTCTTCCTGTGGCGACAGCTCTGACTGGGTAAAAAATAATAATAATTTTGAAATATAGTGCTAAAGGAAGTGGTTTTCATGAAACTGTGCATTATATACGCTCCGTTAAAGTGGTACATACCGTTTGCTTGGCTTCATTTGACTTGTCTTTCTCATGTTTTTGCTTGTAAAGTGGGTGAGAAAAGTTCGATCAGAGAAACCTGTGCACTGACCAATCAATGGTGATATTTCTAAAGTTCCTGTTAATCATTTCAGGAAACATCTTGGGTTCCCTTTTGATTGCATCCTCCCTGATATAAAAACTGTAAAGGTATCTCTGTATAGCTATACCATATTTTAGAAAATAACTGTAATTTTTTAAATTTATAATTTGATTTGAATCCTCATGTTTTGAAGAGACTTAAAGCTTAACAAGAGCTTACTATTTAAAAAATATCCTGTATTTAAAAAATTTGTAATTACTATCTATTTTAAATTTTAAAAAATAGCTCTAATTTATGAAAGGCCTGACCAATGTTAGGATAATTCTCATGAAGTCATTCATTATCATAATTTCACAAGGTAGACATTTTAAGTTTGCAGGAACCTGAGACTTGGAAAAAATTGTCCAAAATTTTATGCCTAAAAACAGATTCTAAAGCCTGTCTTTATGTCTAATAGCCAAGGCCATGGGCAGACATGCAGCCTGTGAAATGACACTTACTCTTTTCCTGCTCTGATTCTTCTAAAAAGTGCATGGGTCATACACAGTCTATTGCACCAAGCTGGTTGGTGGGGGAGGTGGGTATACCCTGTTGCTAAAAGCAGCCAACAACAAAGGCAGCAGGGCAAGGTTGCAGCAGAAGACCAAGGTTGCAAAACAGCAGTAATGATTGCCAGTGGAAACTACCCCGTGTCACAATTGGTGACAATTAACCCCAATTGCCAATAACCCCAAAGTAGACAGTATTTTCCTTTTAGTCACCCAGTAATCTAGTAATAAACAAAATAGATTTACTTCACTGGCTTTGTAAGGAAAATGCCCAAAGTTATGCTACATATCATTTAAGCATACCTTCTTCCTAACAATTAATTTTGGCTGGCTTCTATGAATCTGATATTAGTGCCAAACATTCCCTTTCCCACAAATTCAAGAGTAAGCAAAGTTGACACCTTCTAGTGCCCACGTGGACTTCTTGGTATTTAGGGACCTTGGCAAATTAGTTACAGCTTCTTTCAGATGAGCCTTCCAGAGCTTTGTAAGAGTAAACAAACTTCAAAGGTCCCCCAAGGGGAAAAACTGTCCTGGCTAAGCCTATAATTTAGGCTATTTTTAGAGAAGTGCAACTCCATATAAAAGAGAGGCTCAAGGTAACCAGCTTCTTTTATACAATTAACTTTTTTTTTTACTTAATTTTAAAGACTAAATGACAAGTAGGAAAGTGCTTTTTCAGGAGTGTGGGAGTCTTGAAGCTGTAGAAGGAAGACAAACTGTGCATGGGTGTAAGTATGTGGGTGGGAGTTACAGATTACTGCTCTTTTGCTAGTCTAGAATAACTATGCATAAACATCTTTATAGTAGTAACTTGAATAGAATCAATAAATAAACCTCTATTAAAGACACTTGATACATCACTTAAAATAAGCATAGATTACCTTATATCCAGAAACAGAAAAAATCATTTTACATCTACCAAAAAAGATTTTAACAGAGCCTTTGATTTTTGACAAAACAAAAGATAATGCAATCAAGTTTTTATTTTATTTTCAAATATTAATTTAAAAGCTGGCATGCTATACTTCTTGAAAGTATCAAAGATAAGCTGGTTAGCTTTGTTTGTAGATATCATACCCTTAAAAGATTAAGCCCAGGAAGTGAACGACAGTAACACCAAAGAACACATCAAGGGCTTAGTATTAATGATCAGTCACAGATTTCCTCCGACCTTGCCCTTAGGGGCTATGTGATGGACACTTTGCCAGTTAACACAAATAGTCACTATTTCATGCAATTAGTAATAGGATTCTGTCCTTACAAATAAAGAGGAATCCAGATAATGTACACATGTAGTACGAGTACTTTGAAGAGTTTCAACCATAATGTGAGACGTTTGAATTCCATAAAAAAGGGAGAAAGCATTAAAATAATTATAATTGTTTATCTGTTGAGTTTAGATTCACCAGGTACACATTCTCATTTTCCTCATTCACTAAATTTTGCACATTTACATTACTTACTTAATTGATCATAATTACTTACCATTTCATATTCATTGTCCTAGCTAGACTGTATATTTCAAGAGGGTTCAGGTCTAGCTTTGCTTACGAAGTAGCCGCAGACTCTAGGAAAGACTGGAATTATGCCAGGTGCTCAGTGACTATTTGGAGACTGGATAGGAAAGTTGATAGCAATCAGGTTTAGAATGAAAATGCAGCAGTAACTGGTGAGCGGGTGACCTATGGCCAGAAAAGTCTAAAAATGGAAAAGAATGCTCCACATTGTCTAAAAACACATTAATTACTGGGAAGGATAGATGGAATCAGGCCCTGTCAGCAGTTACTCATTGCTAAGCCCATTGCAGAAACATGGGCATTCAGATCCATCCAGGTAGGGCCAGGAGGGTCATTTGGACTGACGGCACATTCACAAAGGCCATAAACTAACACGTCCAACATTATCTTCAAATGAGTTTCAAATGCGATATGTTCTGTTAATTTGTTTGTTTTTATAATTTAACTATGCAAATTTATTGAACCAATTTATAAAATATATTAAAATGTAAAGAATAGTTTTTTGTTGAATATACATAATTTTATGTATGAGTATGTAATGGGTGAAGATATCTTCAAAAGGAAGTGGTCAAGGATATACTTTATCTCTCAGAGGCTCTGATGTCACTCTCAAGGAGGTGCTTATGATCACAATTTTTTTTTTTTTTTTTTTGAGATGGAGTCTTGCTCTGTCACCAGGCTGGAGTGCAGTGGCTCAATCTTGGCTCACTGCAACCTCCGCCTCCTAGGTTCAAGTGATTCTCCTGCCTTGGCCTCCTGAGTAACTGGAACTACAGGCGCATGTCGCCACACCCAGCTCATTTTTGTATTTTTTAGTAGAGACGGGGTTGCACCATGTTGGCCAGGCTGGTCTCCAACTACTGACCTCGTGATATGATCAAATTTCTTAGCAAGAGACAGGGCATAACATTTTAAACAAACTTCAACCTAAGCATTTTAGAATATGTAGAATTCCCCTTTGAGTGATCTTAACTGTTTGCCTTGTCTGTTTTTAACCCTGTGGACCACTAATGCTTACCTGTTGTAAAGTGAAACATATTTTGATTGCCTAAGAAGCAGCACTTCCAACCATGTGCATGACAAAATGTACCACCTTGCACCACCAGTTTAGCTACCCTCAACTAGTCCTAACTCCCTCATTTCTAGATGCATATGGGCACCAGCCTACCCAAATCTAATTCTATTTGAGACCGAGTTTCCTGCAGATAATTCCGTTTCTGTTGAGCCAAATAAACTTTATTTGCCAAAGGAAAAAAATGGAATAGGTCAATGGATTGCTGCCTATTCTGACTAATTTCCATTTCCTCAACTCTAGCTTCTTGCAGAGTTTAGGCAAGAAACCGGCAACCTTGGCTGTGCTTTGGAATCATCTAAGGGGCTTTTTAAAAAGCTACAAATGCTTGGATGCTGCTCCCAGAAATTTTGATTTAATTTGTCTGGGTTGCAGCCCACCTATCCAAATTGTAGTCGGAGTTAAGAACCATAGCCACAGTTTCAGTCTCCTCATTATGAGCATGGGGTCATAATTACCTTACATACCTCTTGTGATAGTTCAAGGAGATAATGTGTGATCTTAGAATCCCTAACACTTCCATTCCTCCTTTGCTTCAAGGAAGACAAATGAAAAGGCAAGACGGGGTTGGCAATTCTGGGAAGGTGCGAAGGAGGGATCCTTCTGCAGAGTTCTTCCAATGAGCAGTTCATTAGGGTTAACAAGCTATCCTTTGTTAAAGCAAACGCTCTTGAAGGATTAAGCCTCATTCTCGCCTTAGTGTGAATGACTTTAATCAGATAACCTCCTATCACCTGTTGAAGATTTGTTACTGAAAGTCTAGGAGAGGCAAGGAGAGAGTTGCAAGGCCAGTTTGGGATTCACTGGGCCAAGCCAGAGAGGCCTCAAACTCTAGGAAATAAACCTGATACTAGTAAGCTTTCCATAATGACAGCAAGAAAAATCTGAAAAACAAACTTTTTCCTCATGTTATTCAGACAATACTTGTTAAAAAGTGTTTTTCCGATCAAATTTTTTTTATCTGTCTGATAGCCTTTCATGACTTTGTTTTCTGACTTTCTTTCTGCCATGAAGCTCTTAACAAGTGTCGGGTAATTTTACCATTTGCCAGCTGCTTGGGAGTCCATGAGGAGCAAGGCCTTGCCCAGTCCTATCCTCCTTGCCATCTGCTTGGCACATGGTAAACACGCAGGGTTTGTTGAATTTAACTGAATGGTTTCATTTGCTACACTCTTTTCCAACTGTGTTTTTTCCGCTATGTCTGTCTCCAACCACTAGACTATGAACACCTTGCAAAAGACTTAATAATTTCTTTATCCCCGGTGCCAAGCACAACCCTTGGCACATAGTCAGTAGTCAATGAATATGTATTAAATGTATTAAGAAGCAATAGCCAGGGCACTGATGCCTAAGTTATTAAAATTAATTTATGACTGTACTGCCCAGTTCGCACTCTGTTGGACAAAGCACAGAGGAAAGAGAAAAACAGATATATGAAACTCCCACCATTTATTAATGGGACAAATGTTGTTCTTATTAAAAGATCTCTTTAGAACATCTTTTGAGACATGATTTGAAGGTAATTTCAGGAAACTCGGGCAAGAAGGAATAAGAGGAGCTAACAAAAGATCCACAGAGAGAACTCGCACAATGGAATGAAAAGAGAGAGATGTGGAATATCATAGAAACCAAAAAAGGAAACGTCAAAAATACAATGAGTAGGTAGATAGATACAGCAGATATTTAGGAACATCAGCCCTGTTATTGGCATTGTCAAAGATTGGTTTACCTTTAGGAATAAATAAGACAAAAGGCCATATTTTTTTCATATTTGTTTTCATATGAAACAGGGTTACTATGCAGAAATGTTTGGGTTACAGTACATAAAACAGTTACACTACAACATTTATATTAAAAGGCCTATTAGATACTATTTTTAAAAGGTTGCAAGGGAATTCTGGGCTAAATGACAACATAAAATTTTATGAAATGGTAGAAGGTGTTTTACAATATTACATGTAATCATATATTATAAGCATAAATAGGTAACATGTCAATTTTGACCTTCTGGCTATATTTTATATTTATTTTTATATCTGTTTAATTTATTGAAAGACCATGATTGCATATTTCCTTTTCTTTAATGACAGACCATAGTAGAAGGTGTGTGTACATCCCAGGTAGAGCATTTATAAATATATTATATGTTAGACAGATGAATTCGGGAGCTTGGTGTACTGGCTGTGAAACACCGTGGGGCAGGAGGCTTGACCTCTTGCTGGCCACAAGGCTTTGGTCAAGGGCCAACTCTCCAGCTTCCATTACCTCATGAAAAATGAAGATTATATATAAATGGTATGGGGATGTCCTTTGTTTTATAAGACTGTCTTAAAAGGTTACATTTAGAAAAGAAATTGCATATATAGTACAGTATTAACTATGCTTTAAAAAAATGCATTGGAAAAGCCTAGAAGGAAATAAACCATAATACAAACAGTGACTATCTCTGGGAACTGGAAACACTGGTGATTGTTATAAAAATATTCTATCTTCAATAATTTTGAATTTTCTATATTGTGTTGACTCGAAATAAGTCACACATACACAGGCATACCACATCTCACTTCCCTCAAGGTATGTATCTTGAGGATCATGAGTCTTATGGCTTCTCTTCAACTCTGAGATGCAATTCTAACATTTGTTGTACCCCACTGCTGAGAGTCTTCAACCAAATCACTTTCTGCTGCTGGGCCCCCAGCCATTTGCTGCCCATTGCTCTCCTAGACAGAGCCTACTCTTGGTTTGCTCTCATTCTTAGCAGTGGTGCACTTCATGCATTCTGTTCTGAGATTAGACTATCAGCCTCCACACAGCAGTCAAGAGTTACTTTACAAACATTTAGTTATCTTTGTGAAAACCAAATTTAGATAATGTTCCATCACCCCACTCCCACCCCTGCCTCTAACATAATCAAACACTTCAATGGTTCCCAGTGACGAAAAGTATCATAGTTGTAGTTTTGCATTTTGAGTGTGATTAATTTGATGAAGATTCATTTTGTTTCCTCTTTCTTGACTGTAAGCTCCTTGAGGTTAAGTAGTTTTTATTCACCATTGGCTCTCTAGCCCTACCGTGAAGTCAGGCCTGAGGGCTCTTGCCATGCAGTCCTCATTGCTTTGAATGCTCTTTCCCCAGCTATTCCTCACTTCACCAAGAACCTTGCTGGCATATGACCATCTCAGTCCTCTGTTGTGTTTTACATATCCTCCCCTCCAAATCCCCCAACCTGCTTTATTTTATTTCATGGCACTTACCTCCATCTGAGATTACCTCATATGTTTATCTTTTTTTTTCCTTGACTTATTTTTTGTTGCTTGTCTCCCCTTAGTAGAATGCAACCCCTTTGAGGGAAATGATTTATCTGTGCTGTTCAATTCTGTAACCACAGTACCTAGAATAGGAGTTAGCCATGGCTGATGCTCAATAAATGTTCACGAAATGAATACAGTCATTGTATGAAAAGTGCTTTCTGAATGGAAAGAAGAAAGGAAGGATTAAACAACGGAAAGAATAAAAGAAGGAAAAAAAGGAAAGAAGGAAGAAACTGAGGAAGGAAGAACATATTCTTGGAAATCTAATGTAGCACCTCCTCACATTAAACTTGGGGAACTGTTAGGGCCATTTTAGAGCTTCTTGTTGTCCTCATTGTCTTTAAGAAAAAAAAAAAAATGACAATGAAAATGAATGGCCTGAGAGAGTGAGAAGACACTAATGTCAGTTCTGTTCTGCCATGGTGCCAAGTTCCTTATATAATGCACTTCTCTGGTTTAACAAGGGAACAAGGCCAGATGCTCTCTAACATTCCATTCAATGCTAAAATTCTATTATTCTGAACTTGTAATTTCAAAATGTATTTGCTTATTGTCTCTCTATTGCCAGATTTTAAAATAATGATATTGAACACGTAAACTCAACTTTTAGGTAAAATAGCTTAATTGAGAAACGCATAATAAAGTTAATATTTAACTGTTTTGAATTTTATAAACACTTAGTAGCAAATGTTGACATTATATGTTTTCACATTCATGTGCTACACATGTTATACATACAACATATTGTATTATGTATCAAATATATATAATATCTATTAGAATATTTTTATTTTTAAATCATGAGCATAAAGAACTTGTGTTGTGTGTGAAATATATAAAGGTCTTTGAAATTAAACTAAATTCACATAATCCTATCAAGTATATTTATTCAAATATAGAAACAAGTTTGAATTCTACAAAAGGTCTCAGCTCTCTCCTCAACTCTGTTGTGAAGTTTAATGTGATACATCTAATGCATCTACTTAAACTTGATTCTCCATACAAGAATGTTTGCAACTTTTGATTCCCTTTTAAGAGTTCTCTTCTCTTGATCATCTATATTTAAACATTGATTAGGAAGCAGAGTACATGAGACTAGGTTCTGGATTTGACACTATCTTTCAATCAATTATTTTTATCCTGGTATAATAAAAATAGTATTTAAAAGAGTATACCCCTTGAGATATTTTTATTTAGGTGATTTGTGTGTGTGTGTGTGTGTGCGTGTGTGAGGAAAGACAAGTTATACTGGAGGGGCAGTGAGAGCTCATTGAGCTATGAATGTGGTATGCAGAAGAAGTAAGTCACAATTCACACATGCACTCACACACTTATATAGGTGCCTTAAATATTCCCATTGGAATGAAAAAGATAAATGCTGCCATTATCTTTATCTTTATTATTGGTAAACAGGGAGCTGATATTATCTATGTCCCTTAACTGTATTTCTATTGAGATTCATTGGTATAACTAAAACTTAAATGGACTAAAGTGTTTCAGGAACGGAAGTGAGCACTCTTTTCTTTATTTGAAATTTAGTTTTATTTTACCTGAAATTGTTTTCTATAATTTCCCTCTCCACCCACGAATGACCTTCTTTTTATATTCATGGATATACTCACTATGAACCTGTGGACTATAATGACACTTCACAGAAGCAGGAGAAACCATAATGTTCTCCTGGCACTGAGGGAATAGCAATGGTATTCTAAATGAGGAACTATTAACTTTTTATTACTATAATGATTTTTTAGTAATTTCCATAGTTTGAAATGTGGGTAGGATGCTGCTGGCAGTTGAAAGCTGACAACATGATTTTAATAGTTTCAACATATGATCTGGTGTTTGTTACAGTGCTTTAAAATTTTAAATGCCATCATTCATGTTCTAATGTTATCAATGGTAAATTAGGCCAAATCAGTGGTAATGTAGTTTTATATCACAATTTATTTGGACTCATTTTGAATTATAAATTGACCATTGTTTTATGAGTTTTCTTAGCCATCCTTTTTCTATCTAATGTAAACTAACATTTTTCCTCTTCTTTGTCATTTACCAGGATGGTTATTCTACTGTTTCTAACATTAAAGGATCATCCTTGTATTTCTTTGTATTCTGTCATGGAGCAAAAAACATGTCTCAGTTTCGATTTCTCTTTTGCTCCCAGAAGCTCCCCGCTCCTCCAGTGTTGAAGTAGAAACATAGTTTTCGCTCTTGCACCATAAACAGGTTCAAAAGTCCTGTGTTTCACCATGTTGCCCCAAACAGCAAATTTTCTAACCCACATGAAAAAAGAACACATTTCTAACTTGGAATTCTACACGGGTTTATGTTGAGAACAAATTTCTACCACCAGGATTAGTCCTTAGTGGTTTGCAGGCATTCTGAGCAGAGGGGCATGGAAGCCAGCTATAGGCACCAACCTGCTAGCAGGTGCAAAGGTTGCTCTGCTAAGAAGTTAGGCCTTTAATATCACAGAGAATGGCAGGCAAAATGAAGAAATTAGAAGGCAAGTAGCAAGCAATTCAGTAGGTTAAGCCAGGGATTTGGGAGTCTCCCAAGGCTCCTCCCTTCCTCATTCCCTGCATGAGTCATTTTTCCAGTCTGTCCACACCCATTCACCCCTCCAGCCCACACTCTCATTCACCCTCCAAGCTGCCACCACAGGAACTTTCTGCAGTACAAGTCCAGACTCCATCTCTGGCCCTTGCTGCCTAAACTTTTCCAGTTCATTAGCTTTGACAGTAAAGTTGAAACTCAGATTAACACAGACCTACTTTTAGCGTCATCTCCTGCCACTCTCCTCTACTACCCTCCCCTCACTTCTCACAGAAAGGCTGAGAAGGCTGTATATGCCTTGTATATGCCCTGCTCTTCTCGTTTCTTTTGAGACAGGGCCTTTCAATGTTACCCAGGCTGTCTCATAAACTCCTGACCTCAAGTGATCCTCCCTCCTTCTCAGCCTCCTAAAGTGCTCGGATTACAGGTGTGAGCCACGCCACCCAGCCTGCCCTGGTCTTTTCTCTTCTCCACCCAGACTCTACTCCCTTTTGATCTTTTGATCTTGCTAACTTGTACCCACCTTTCAAAGCACCAGTTAAATGTAAATCCTCCAGGAACTCTTTGTTCGCCATCCTCAGAGCCCTCACGGGATTGCCTCCGACATCACAGTACTTATCCCTTAGGCAAAATTAATTGGTTTGTCTCTCACCTAGTAGATGTGTTATCCTTGAGTATAGAGACTGTCTTACCCATTCTTGCATCACTGGCATGGTAGGCACTAAATGTAGTTGCTGAATGTTTAATAAGAGGAACGGAAGTCTTCATAGCTTGGGGTAGTTACTAATGGGCAGACAGAAAGTTCCGATCCCTGTTCTCTGAGAAAGTGTCAGTGTCCTTTTTGCTTACACTGTGTGGGTACTTGAGTTCTTTTAAACGATTAACGCTGGGAAGGGGCACCATTTAATTAATTAATTTGTTCTGGAAGTAATCAGTGTACAATTTTAACTCAGTGCTTTGTAGATCTAGCTAAAGGGCAAGAACTCAAGTCAGCTATTAGTGCTTCTGGAAGATATTTCTGCACTTTAGCACCTTTCTGATGTTTTTCCTTCACCCCGAGCTGGCCTCACTCTCTTCAACACAACCTAGCCTGCAGGACGAACGTTGTACCATATCCAGCATTTTTGTCCCAAATGTGGGACAAACGTTTTTCACCAAAATCATCCTTGAACAAGTTATCGGAATTCCTTACGAAGGAAATCCTGCCCCCAATCTCCAAAACTTTATCACACCACAGATGTTCAGGATTCTTTCCATTCAAAGTGAAGCCAAGTTACACCTTATAACACCCAGTGAATTATGATATGGGGCTGTGGTTTATTTGCTCTGGCGACAATATGGCTTACTTGCCGTGAAATATCCCAGTACTTAATATGTTATAAATACAAACATATATATTATATAAAATATAAATATATTTATAATATATTAAAAATATATAGTTATAATATATTAAAATATATATTTATAATATATTAAAAATAATACATTATTTTCAAAGAGGAAGCTTTGCTTTCTATAAATCACATAGTGCATAGTTGAGAATATATTGTAAAGTCCAAATATTATTTACAAACTAGAAGGAAAGCTGGATGTGAGTGTTTGTGCTTGTGAGACAGTTTCACTAAGGAATTCCAAAACTGTGGACAGCCTGTTACTTGAGAAAAATACACAGTGGCAGTCTTGCAGATGTTTTTCCCGCCTGTTCGCCTTCCAGGTTCAGAAACTGGTGCATTTTAAGGCGGCAGTCCCAACAGATCCCAGGATTCTAGTCTAACAGGTTTCTAACCTTCAGTCTAACCTTTCCGGCTTCCTCGCAAAGCCCGGTGCAAGGGCCTCATTCAAAACGAACCCACCGACGTGCGCGGCTAGTCGGTAGGAGCAGAAGTAGCGGGAGGGCGTCCCCTCTGTACGCCCGCCGCGAGGTTACAATGTCGAACGCAAAAGATGGAAGATACCAACCGAAGCCGAGGGGATCCACGGCGCCCACGCGGGCGCCAGCTTCCTCCTGCTCTTGGCGCCGCGGGGCGAGCGCCCATGACCCGTCCTTGCGGACTCTGCCGGGTTGAGAGGAGACTCTGGGGCCTGGGGAAGCGCGGGAGGGCGCCAACGGAAAGTTGCAGAGCGTTTTCCTCGCCGCCGCGTGCATTCAGGAGCTCGACGAGTCCGCCCTGGGCTTCCTGGTGGGGCTGGGCGGGCGGGGGAGGGGCCGCGCAGCAGCAGCGGAAGCCAGACCTCGGCGATAAGAGGCTGCACAGCGACATGCAACAGTCTTTTCACTGCAGCTGAATGAGTTGTGGCGCCCACAATGCTCCCGTGACAAGGAGCTGACAAGTTCTATTTTCCGTCGCGGGCATCTTGGAATCATGACTCCCACAATGCCTTGGGCACTCGGTCGACAGTCGGGCCGCCTCTGAAAAAAAATGTGAGAGGTAAGTTTCCATTTTCACAGTTTCCCCGCGCCGCTCCTCCGCGCTTCATTGTTCGGACTCCGGCGGGGCTGCCCGTGGCTGAAGGAGGAAGTGCGAGGAGGTGCTTGCCGGCCGCGGCTCTCCCGGGCCGGGGCGGGCCGCGCGCGGCGGTTGGTTTCGGGTCCCTCAGCACCTCCTGCCCCAGGGAAGGCGGGAGGCTGAGCTGCAGCAGCTCCTGCGCCCTTCCCCGCCGCGGGCTCTGCGGACGCTGTCACTGCGCAGCCGGCGCGCGGCTTGGCAGCCCAGCGGGACCGAGGGAGAAACAGGGGGGCGAGAAGAGAAACAGGTGCGTGCAAGTGTACTCACAACTTAATGACCTTTGTCGGGGGAAGGTGCGAGTCCCTGCGAGGCGAGCGGCGCGCGGGTTCTCCCGGCGGCTCCCGCATCCCTGGCCCCGGGGCTGCCATCCCGCCCGGTTTTCATCTGGGCCAAATATGTGCACGCAAAGGTTAATTCTCTGCCTGCCACCCATAAATTACGCATGACATGTTTAGCTGGGCTGCCTTATATGGAGAGTGCTGTATTTCAGGCCAGTTTGCCTTTTGCCAAGTTTACAGGGCGGAAGACGCCCTGTAGGAGAGGGCTGTCTCCTCCTCTTCTTCTTCTTTTTTTTCCATCGTTTTGTAGTGCGTCACTCAAAAACTGTAAGAAAAGTAAGTATAGAAGCTTCTTGGGTGGAGCCGCAGTTGATTGATTGAATTGCTTTCATGAAAGGTTGAAAAGAATGAAAAGTAATTAGTACTTGGGTTCTGCTTTTTAGACAAAAGCAGGACAAATATGTAGCCCCCCCTACTTTTTTTTTTTTTTTTTCAAATGGAGCCGGAATCTGTTATTGGTAGTAATGTGTCATGTGAGAATACTTTGATTCCAGAGCCTGTAACACGAGCAGGTATATGGTGACGCTTATGCCTTATGCCTTCCCCTCGCGCAGTACTTTACAATTGCAAGGGTGCTGCTGCCAGACTAATATAGTGTTTTTAAGGCTCTCTGGGGCCGGGAGGGAGAGTATGCGGCTGTTGGGATTCTGGGGTGTGTTTCTGTGGAGTATGCCTCCCCAGGATGAAAACTGAGTAAGAAGCTGCCAGAAAGGTTGTTGCCGCTGACTTTACCTTGTGTGCCCACCAGCACAGGCATAAGCCATAGCAGATGGATGGCAAACTCTGCCATATACTCTGAGGAATTTCTTAATACGCTAGGAGAGAAATCATAATTAATGCTTTTAGACTTTCGGGCCCTCTGCAACGTGCTTTGAAATACTACACCAGTGGACAATGTGTCCCTCCCTCCTGGGTTTGAACACTGTTTATATAAAGAGGATGTTTAGTACATAACTATTCTATACCAGCATAAGAGAGCCACTCCATAGTTATCTCTGTGTGGGTTCCTAAGTGTGTTGGTGTTTCTCCTTGCTGTTGAGATAAAACACTATCACCAAGACAGAAAATGAAAGTTCAACGGCTGTAAAATTCATCCCAAGAATGTGCAGTTCAATACTTAGAATGTCTTAGATGTAGTTATAGATAGAGGCACTGAATAAATTATTTTGTAGCCTGAGAATGCACATCACTGTCACTTATATCTTTCTTTCTTAAAGTTGGTGACAACTGCAGCTCAAAACTTTTTTAGTTTCCAAATGTTCCAATTTTCATCTGTTTTGTGTATTTGCATGGGAGTTACTTTATTATTATTTTTACTATATTGTTAGGTCTTTAAAAATGTAGGCTTTTTTTAAGTTTTCTTTGTTTAGTAGGGGGTTTCCTTGCTGAAGATTACAAAAGGTGCCTTTGTGTTTTAAAGAACAGGTTGGGTCAGCAACAGAAAACCTTTTCATCTATAATTATAGTGTCACTTAAGACATAATAATCAGATTTCATTATTAGTAAGACTCAGAAAAACCTCACATATGCCTAGTTTAATTTTTTTCCTCATGTGACTGTGAACAAATTTGTGTGTAGATACACATCAAGTGTAGTACTCTGTGTAGTCATGCCAAAGAGAAACTGAAGTGTTATATGGGTTGAGATATTATTTCTTATGTTTACAGTTCCACATTTGAGGCAAAGTTAGACTCCAATTTGAGTTCCTTAAATTTTGATTCCAACATTCTGTTCTTCCTTTAGGCACAGAATTCCTATGAAATGAAACACTGGGTTTTGTTCCAGAACAAGAACAGACTATCCCAAAATTTCTCCTGGGGGAAAAACAAGAGTAAAGCTATATTTCTTATTGAGGAAGAGTGTGTTACTTTATTATATAAAATGCCCTATCTTCATTATAAGCAAAAAAAAAAAAAAAAGCCCTGACATTTGTCATACATTAGGCTTTTGATAGACCTATTTATGGAAACAGAGAATAAATAGTTTTGCTGCACCTTCTGGTTTTCTGCCTGGTGATAGATGTACAGATTAGAGAACATCTCAGGTCTTGCTTAGAAGAAGTTGAAAAGAATAGGTGATTGGGTTGTTAAAATTCCATAAGCAAAGGCATTAGGGTAGGTGGTAGATACGAGAGTCAAGGGAGTGGAGGATAGAAGTGAAATAGGTTCACGAAGTGATTGGCTCAAAATAAAAGCCCAACAATATGGATGACAGAGAACGTGACATAAGAAGATATTTAAAGTGTATGGTCTTTTAAAGCAAAAATCTTCATATTTTTGGAAATATAGAATGTACTGTCCAGTACAGTAGCCACATGCGACTGTTGAGCATTTGAAATGTGTATAGTCCAGATCGAGTAGTGTAAAATACTACTGGGTTTTCAAAACTTTATATGAGGGAAAGAATGTAAAACATCTGATTAATGTTTTTATATTGATGATATGTTTTAATGATAATTTTTTGATATATTGGTTCTAATAGAAGATCTTACTGGATTAACTTCACCTGTTTTCTTTTTTTTTTTTTTTTTCTCACTGTGGAGCCTAGAAAACTTAATATAACAAATGTGGCTAACATCGTATTTATTTTGGACAGCGTTGTTCTAGGATAAAGTAGGAAAACAATATTCTGGGAGAAAGCTTAAAGAGTTTGCTGGTCAAAACACAGTAAAACTGACTTATTATACGTAGAAATACTTTGTCTTTCTTATCCATTGTAACAAAATTTGAGAAAACATACCACCTAACATCTATTTTTACTTCCTCAAAGCTGCTATTTAGTTTAGAGATTTCATGGTGAGATAGTAATAATAGAGAAAAACTTATAATTAGAGAATGAGTCTTAACACCTCTCAAAGGCCAAAATAGAATATGATTGTTACTTAGGAACATTTTAGAGACACTGTACTTATCATTGTCCTGAAGTTACCAAACATAAACAGTCACTAAAATTATTTAAAAATAGAGTTTTTAGTAAATAGCAATTATCTTCAAATGCTTAATATGTGTTTTCTTTTGCTAGGACTTTCTTTAGAAAATTAAAAAAAAAAAAAAAAAAAAAAAAAAAAAAAAAAAACCCACAAATCCAGGGTCCTGAGCAATGGCTGAATTCATAAGAATGAAAGATTTTTACCTGCAGATAAGAGGGCATTGTTTTGAATATTAGGAAAAGTAAAAATATGTTTCTACTGTAACATTATGGGCTTTGAAGAATTTCTATACATGGAGACACTGTCTTTATAATTTGAACACATTCTTGAGAAAGCATCTGACTGGTAAACAAAGCACAATGGCATAGGTCCTGGAAACATTCCTTTCAGATATTTTCATAACTGAAGTACATTTTGCCATTCACAGTGAGTGTTAAGTTGAAAAAATGTGGTTCTTTTCTAGCCATATAAAGTATGCTTACTATTATTTTCTTGAAGGATGCCAAAAAATGTAAGATGGATGTTGTGGATTCTTTCTGGGGAGAGAACTAGATTGTATATGGAGCCTGAAGAAGAGTTGCCTCTCGGCTTGGTGCCATCTTGAATCTGTCTTCCACTATATGAGGCATAGCTTCCATTAGTGTCAGTGCGTGTGTGGAGGGTGAGGGGAAGAATGATCCCCATTAATTTTGTATATTGTTTCTGATGAGTCATGGTGTATATTCACTAATGGTTGGAGAATTATTGATTGCCAAGCAGAGGATTCAAGAAGAGCTATTGTCATATGGCATTAACTGTCTGTAGACATATTTTATATTTTTAAATTGAGGTAGGGAAATTGGTTTTTATGTGGTGTTTTTCGTATTGTAAGATTCATACATTATGCAAGCATCACAGATACATTCTTGAAAAAATAGCAAATACATATGTGGTTATAGTTTGCTACATATTACTAGTTTTTTTTTTTTTTTTTTAATAACAGATCCAGAACATCTCTTTCAGATAATCATTCATGTTTTTAGAAAGGTATCTCATCATATGTGCCTATGATATCTGTAAAAATATGTGTAACACACATCTTGAAATATTTGTGTTAGGAGTATTAGGTCTTACACATTTGGCTCTTTTTCTACCGTTTTTGATGATGATTAAAATTTTGTTTACTATGAGTATCCTTTGCTAAAACTATGTTTGTTACTGTGATTATCCTTTGTTAAAACAGTTCAGGAAATATTAGTCTTGAAATGTAGCCATATTGGACAGAGTAGAGAATTACTTTTCCACAGAGATCAATTATTCCAAAGAGGTGAAGAAGTTTTGAAAGATTATCATGCTTATATGCTCCAAAAGAAAAACCATTATTGCTTTTGACATTCTTTTAAGAAACTGAGAGATGTATACCTAAAGAGGTGAATAATAGTTGATAAAGGTATGTAAAATACATACTCCTGTGAAGTGTGAACACACAATTTGTATGTAAGGCATACATGAGCATATAACTTTCCCCAAGACAATGCCAATTTATTCATATCACCTGAATGTTAGATAGTATCATATTATTAAAAGGAATTATGGTAAATATAAAATCCAAATACCACTGCTGATGTCCATGCTGATATCAATTCTATTCCAGTCCCTCTTTAGCTGAATTCACAAAAATGAAGAGATATCTTTCTCCAAAGTAGTTTTCCAAAAATTTATATTTGACACTGGATTTTTCCTACATTTTCACTTTTAAAAGTTTAGAAGCTATTAACTAAAAATAAACTTGTTTTAGAGAGCTAAGAAGATTCTAGACTTATGGGGACATATTTAGTTCTATAAAATAAGCATTACATTGCTGACTTGAAATATTATTTTATCATATAAAGTTGATTTATAAGTGAATACATATTGTAGAAAAATACCACACTAGGCTTAGTGAAATCTACCAAACTTAAATCAAGATAGATATACCTTGTCCTCAAAAAAATAAGAATCTGGTAGGCAAAATAAAAGCTTCAAAAATAACTGTAAAGTAGGAAGTGATATTTCATTAACAATGGCTGGGTAACATACTATGAAAGTTCAGATAAGGGAAAGTCTTAAGGTAGCTCTGAGTCTGACCCACATAGAGGTAATAAAGGGAACAGTCCTAAAATGCATAAATAATGGGAATAAAAAGTATTCAGTATGTTTCAGCCTTACAAAAATATTATT